TCTACCAGACCAGTCACTTCATTGTAGAAGGCTGGCAGTTTGTCTGAGCATGGCTGCCCCTTGGTGAATCCCTGCTGATGACTCCTGATGATTTTCTTGTTCGTGTAAATGTTTTTATAGGATTAGTTGTTTCATCCCTTTCCAGGGGTTAAGATGGCTCTCACTGACCTGTAGTTCCCTGGATCCTCTTTCTTACCCTTCTTGAGGATTGGAGTAATGCTTGGCTTTCCTCCAGTCCTTGGGCACCACACACAATTGTTGTGACTATCTCAACATTATTGAAAGCGACCTTAAAAAGTCACCTGCCAGCTCCCGCAGAACTCATGGGGGCATCTGGTCAGGACCCATGGATTTATGTATGTCCAGTTTGCCCTGACTTGTTCCTCTTTCACCAAGGGTGCATCTTCCTTGCTCCACCCTTCCCCCGGTCTCTGGAGCCTGGGATTCCTGGAGGCTGCTGTTAGCACTGAAGACTGAGGCAAATCAGGCATTCAGTATTTCAGCCTTGTCCTTTGTCACCAAGGAGGCCCATATTTTCCTTGCTTCTTAGGTGCTCATGGAAGCCCTTCCTTTGCTTTTGACATTCCTTCCCAGATTTAATTCTTGGCTTTATGACCTCATCCCTGCCTGCTCAGACTGTGTGCCAGATTCTCAGTCCCTGTTTCCATCTCTTGTACGATTCATTTTTGTGTGAGTTTTGGTATCCATCCTGGTATTTTTACCCAACTTATTGCTCGTTGGAATGGATTGCTCTGGAGCTTGGAGGGGTCCTCTTTGAACTTCAGCCAGCTTTCTTTGTTCCCCCTTTGCTCCAGAATGTTCAGGATTCTTGCAAACATCCTCAATGCCAAGGCTGAGCTCCGTGCACTCCACCTGTTCTGTCCCATAACGTGCAAGGCCTCTCCTCTGCCCCCTTGCCTTGTCTTCTTGACCTGTCCTTCCTGGAGAGCCCTTATCCCTCATGGCAGCACTCCAGCCATGTGAGCCAGCTCCATGATCCCAAGGTTGTAGTGCTGCAGCTGCACACCAATCTCCTTATGTTTACTCTCCATGCTGCACACATTAATACAGATTTTAGTGCTCTGAAACACTTGCAGGGTGAAAGAGAAGCTGTGACCTCAGTGAAATAATAAGTAGATATTTAAAAAATACTGCTATATGTGTGCAATTGTGAGAGAGATTGACTTTTACTCTGTCCTTCTGCACTTAGGAGGTGGTGATAGCAAGTGCTGTAAGGACACCTATTGGATCTTTCCAAGGGTCTCTTTCCTCACTGCCAGCCAATAAACTTGGTTCCATTGCAATTAAGGGAGCAATTGCCAGAGCAGGTATGCATACACATTTTTTTTTCTTGTGACAAAGAAAACCTTAAGTGGCTTGGTGTCTTTTCAATGTCTTGGTAATGAAAAAGACCTGCAGTGTCCTGGATTTTTTTGCTCCTGTGGCATTTTTAAGTCTCTCCACAAAAGCCATTTAAGTAAAGTTGGCTGTCAGACTTTTATTCAATCTGAATTAAGGGCTGCTCCTAGGAGCAGAATGTAGCCTAGGGGTATCTGTGCTATTCCATATGTGATTGAACATGGTATTTGGTTTGTTGGGATGGGTTTTTATGACATGTGTAAGCTGATGCAAAGGCTCCTTGCTGCTGAGACCAGTGGCCTTTCCTTTCCCTGCCTGGTTTTTATGTGGGTGCATGTACCTGAAGGACAGCCTTGTCAGCCTTTTGATGGATTCAGTCTAGCAAAAAAGGTTTTTTAGGGAAGAGGAGGCTTTATACTACAAGAACTTGGACACCAGGGCTGTTGCAAGAGATGCAGCAGGAGAGCAGACCTCTGTGGTGGCAGCGTGCTGTGGCCTCGACTTGCCCTTGCTAAACAAACAAAATTGTCTTTAGACATAATTCTAGCACAAAAAAAGTTTGGGGGCATTTAACTATCCATTAAAATCGAGCTTCTCAGGTGATTAGTAAGACTTGGAAATGTTGACTTGAATGAAATAAGTGCAGCTTGTCCTGCAGGGTGACCGAGGAATTATCTTCTGGGGGGATCACCAGTTCACCATGCTCCATGAATATGAGGGTAGAAATCTGGAATACACCCACTGAGGCCTGGGTTCTGTTAGCATATGGGTTGGATGTGGCAAGTTTTATTAGTCTCCGATAGAAAACTTCAATGAGAACTTTTGTCAAAAGGATCCTGAATCAAAACAATTTTGTTTTGTAGGAATCCCTGCAGAAGAAGTGAAAGAGGCTTATATGGGCAATGTCCTGCAGGCTGGACAAGGACAAGCTCCAGCCAGACAAGCAGTTTTGGGTGCAGGTAATCCTTCTCTTTGCACTGGGGTTGAAGGTTTTCTGTCTTTGTGTAGCTGGGATCTACTGGGCTGTGAGTTAAAGCAGAGTGGTGGGCAGCCCTTTGTCAGGACAGTCCATGGATGCTTTTTGCCCTGTGATGGGTGAAGGGTGCACATTGCACTCATGCAAGTGGGATGTTATTGCCAAAAGTGTTTGCAGTACTGGAGACCAGGCTGGTAATTCCACAGTACTTTACATTAGTGATGGATGCTCTGAATCTTTCACAAATCAGGGTGTTTTCTCTTCAGTGTATCATTATTCTTAATTCTTACTGGATGAAGAGTCAGTGAGATTCTTTCAGCTCATGACTATGTACAACTCATCTTCCTGTGGAGTCTGGAGCTGACACTGGAAGGATTCACTGTATGTTAGCTATAACATGAAAGTTATTGGGGTGCAGAAATTATTTTCTTCTCCCTTCTTCTGTAGGGGTGGGATTCCATACCTTAGCTTGTTTCTAGGTAAGACTGTAGGTCAAGGAGGAACCGTGTACTTTCTTGGATCTGTTGTACATTTTTGAAGGAAAAGGAACTACTTCCATGTTAGGCAAAGTGATAAATATGGCTCTTTTCATTCACAGAATTATATAGTGTCTTGAGTTGGAGGGGACCTTAAAGATCTCATTCCAGCCCCCCTGCTGTGGGCAAGGACTCCTTCCATTAGACCAGGGTGCTCAGAGGCCTGCCCAGCCTGCCCTGGGGTCTGTCTTGTTGCCAGTTGCTAAATTCTGCTGCTTATTTATGCTTTTTCAGCCTTGAGTGCTGCTTAGAGGCAGAGATCAGGGCTTTGGGAACAGGAGCAGTTCTGGAGTCCCTTCCTTGATCTTCCATTTCCTTGCCTTCTCCCTTATCACAAGTCAGTTGTTGGACAACAGAGGTTTCCAAGAACTATGAATAAGTGTAGATAAATTGCCTTGGCAGGCTAAACAGTGCAAGCTGGACATCCTGGGCTTAGATAAAAACCAGTGCCATATGAAATATTGCTGAAACCCCAATAAAATACTGAAGTCTGCCCTCCAAATAACAGCTGTACAAACTTCTCTGACTCAGGTCTGCCGATCGCCACTCCTACCACAACTGTCAATAAAGTCTGTGCTTCAGGAATGAAATCAATCATGATGGCAGCACAAAGCCTGATGTGTGGGAGTCAGGTATGTGGATTTTGTGCTGTTCTGTGGAAAAAAACACAGAGTTAATGTTGTATATCCTGTCCTACCAATAGCTGTGCTCTTTGATTAGGGATTGTGTTTTGGCTTGGGATAATAAAGCTAATTAGCAAGGGCTTGTTTTGTTTTGTTTATGCAACCCTAATTTTATAGTTGTTTTAGTATGTTTGGGTTCAAAACAGAAAAGAAAGTAAATTCTTTAGTTGGAAAATTCAGATATGTTTTTAGAGCTGAAGAAACAAGGTGGATTGTTTGGGGTATTTATCTCATCTCTCTACTCCCACCCCACCTACCAGTCCAGCCCCCAAAATATAATTAAGGGAGTTTTCAAGCTTTCAGTTTTGAAAAGGTGAAGAAATTTTTATGTACTTAGTTTTTGGTGAGTTGACTTTCAGACAGTGTTAACATTTAAATGAATTAAATACACATATTCAAGCAATGTTGTTTCCAAGTACACTAAAGATCTGTCTGGCTTATTTATTGTTTTAGAAGAAGCAGAATTTATTGTTGGTGAATAAGCTTTTTCATTACAGAGCTTGATGAAGGAGAATTGCTCATCTCTTTCAACTTTCTTACAAGATTTTCTGTACAATGGGAAAAAAGTTCTGTCACTTGATGGGAGGATAGGAGAATACATCATTTTCAGTAAGCCATTAAATGCTGTGCAGCAAAGAATGTGGGAGAAGTGTGAATGTGAAGAAAGACATTTCAGTTTTGTTTTGAATTCCACACCCAAAGCATTTTGGCAGCATCTTTGGTTCTCTGAAGTGAAAATATAATCAGTTCAATTATATATGTTTTTGGCTTTAAAAGTAAGTGGCTCATAAGCGAAGAATACTTTTCTGTGTGTGTTTAAAACAAAAGTGTTTAAATTTTGATGCGCCTTCTGTGGAAATCACAGTGTAACTGGAGTTAAGCAACTGCTTTATTGCTTTGGCCTTGCCCTGCAGAAAACAGCACTTTGTCGGGGGCCTGCTGAAGTTGATGGAAATCTTGTCACCAGACTTTGAACCAGGCCCAGCATGTCTTTGTAAACAGCTGCTTTTGGATGTAGTCATTTATATCCAATGACTTCATGAGAGTGGTTGTGCCTTTGGTTGCTTTGACAGATGTAGGCCATGAGCTCTGAATAGAAGTGGAATTTTCAGCTGAATTAATCATACAAGCTGTGCTGCCAGTCTCAGCAAAATCAGAGACTCAGCCAGTTATTAGTCTCTAGAGCTATTAATTTTAGGGGGGTTGGTATTGGTTTGTTTTTCCTGGCTGTGGGCTGTGAGGTATCTGTGGTATGACAGTGATGGTTCCCAGTGGCTTGAGTCAGTGTACACCATTATAGAAACAATTGTATTGGCTCTCTCTCCAGGTCTTTCACTTAATGGAATTTAAATGCCAGCGATTCTTGTTCCTCTAGTCTGCTGCTGCTTCCATATCCTCCACTGCCTTTCCAATCTATCTGTCTTTTCAATAGTTTTGTCTCCAGCCTTCTTTTTTTTTCCTTTATTACTTCATGTCATGTTTCTGCCAGGTTGGATTACCTATCTTCAGTTGTTCCTGTTTGCTTTTTAAATGCATAAAGGGTGTTCCTTTTATCTCCTTCTCTAAGACTTCTGAGAAGTATAAAGTGCCCATGCTTAAGCTTTTACTAATACTGTTCCTACAAGAAGTCATGGAGAACATGACTTCATGTTTATTCATGAAGTCCATGATTATTAATTTTATCTCATAATCATTCATAACTCCATGATTATTCATTTTATCTTGTTTCCTTTGGGCAGGATGTCATGGTTGCTGGTGGAATGGAGAGCATGTCCAATGTTCCCTACACGATGAGCAGAGGGGCAACACCTTATGGAGGACTAAAGCTGGAAGACCTGATAGTAAAAGATGGGCTGACAGATGCTTACAACCATATCCATATGGTAAATATTCCTGCACAGTGCTCATGTATCAACCATAGGTAGACCTGATGCAGATCTGAAAAGCTTCCTTGTAGTTGTTATAAAACTGCTTCCTCTAGCAAGCCTGGAAATGAGGAGGAAAAAAGTCTTCCATTTCCAGGTTTCCTGGAGTGCCAGCCCAGAATAGCAGAGAGTTTGTAATTACCTGTCTCTGCAGTCTGAATAGCCTAAAGCAAGGATTAAGAGAAAAATTAATTCTGCTGCTGATGGGTTGCTGTTGCTCCATCCGAGGGAGGGAGCAATCAGGTTGCTTGGTGTGAGGATATCTGCTCTGAAGGATCCAGCAGCTCATGTTTTTCCCTCCCCCAGAGTACATATCTCATATCTCCTGTGGGAAGGTTTGAGTCAGCTGGTGTGCTTACTCATCAGCAGGGTAACTTAAATTGGACAAACAAGGGCAAACTTTGGATGGGTTTGGAAAACAACTGATGCAAAGGCAGTCAAGAACAATCACCAGGGAAGAAAGTTTAAAAAGGGAATGGCTGCTTTCAGCTTATGAATATTTCTGACCTTTACCCAGTGGTAATTCACAGCTGTAGGGCATTATTGATTGATCAGTTGGTGTTCTTTCTGGGATACAGGAAAACGTGTCATGAAGAATATTTACTTTGATCCATAGATTTGGTACAGACCTCACTTGTGTATGATTTGTTCTTTTTGTACTCTAGTGCTTAGGCTATGTGGGAATGTTGAAACTCATTCCCACATTTCAGCTAAAATGGATTTTGAATGTGAGGATTTTATAGGAATCTAAAGGGTGACTTTGATGGTTCCCTCATGTGAGGAAAAATTCTAGCAGTTGGTTGTAATACACCAAGATTTAATAGATTGGGAAAGTATGTTGGAACCTTTTGTCTGTCTTATAGCAGATGTAGGTTGTTTGGAAAGCCTTGACAGTCTGTGTGAGAACATACAAAAAAGTCCATAGTATGGCTTTGGGAATTACTCTTGTCTGTGTTTTGGCAGTAGCCTAAGTCGCTGGTGCTTTGAGGTTTGAAGACTTAAATTTCATACATTACATAGAAGTGAACTTGCTTATTTGAATAACTGGAGGGACACAATACTAAAGGGTTTTGTGTTGATTCATTTAGTTTTCCAATGGAATGAGAGGTGGAAAAAAACCTTTCAAGGGCAAATCTTTCCAGTTGACTAAATGATTTTTTTTTAAATTTTGTCACTGGGTATTTAGACAGTGATGGTAATGAATTGTGAGTATATAATTACAATCATGATTTGCCTATATAAAAAATGACTTGGTTGTTTAATTCTATTTATTTCATTCCAATTATTAGAAAAAAGGGATACATATTTTTATTTCTGCAGTTTTTAGAGAGTCTGAAGGCCCTGTGTCTTGTCCTGTTTTTATAGTCCTTGGAATAGGCAGGGCAATAATAATGGAGTGAAAATACTAGGAAAATGATGTGAACATGTGGTTCTGTGGCTGAACAATGATCTTCAGTCTCTGAAGATGTCAGCCCTAAGCACTTTAAACTTACTTTTGCATGCAGTTTAACTGAAAAAAAAAGCTTTATAAGGAAAGTTCGTTTATGGCTTTTGTTAATCTGGATCCAGAAGACATTTGCTAAATCTGACAATTATATTTCAAAACCAGAAGTTGCTATTTGTTCATGACTGTAAATCGGAAATGGACACCAAGTATTAGTCACATTCAGTTCTGGAAATCTGCTAGTTGGGGTTTTTTCAGCTGTAGTTGAGCTTTGCATCTTCAGGACCACCAAACCTAACAGGCCTGTTTTCCTCCAAGGGCAACTGTGCTGAGAACACTGCCAAGAAGTTCACTATTTCCAGAGAGGAGCAAGACACTTATGCCATAGGCTCTTACACCAAGAGCAAAACAGCCTGGGACTCAGGAGTACTGAAAAATGAAATAGTTCCTGTCACTATTTCAAAAAAAGGTATTGTGGAAAGGTGTGATGAGATGAATTTTGTTTCTTATAGAAAGCTGGAATGTCGTCTGTGTTCAGTGCAAATTAGATTGTTGAAACATGTGAATCTCAGGAACATTCGTTTTGATCACCCAAGAATTTTCTGTTAGGCAGACTTTCTGGTCAACAGCAGTCAGTGACCTGTCATCTGGTTTTTGTTTTTCAGTTTTTCTTCAATGTTGCATACCATATCTTTTTCTTTTTTGGTCTAAGTGAAGGTTAGCTATTGAATTTAGTTATGGCTTAAGGACATCTATTTGTATCTATTTGTTTTAATTTACATTAAAGATAGGCTCTTTGTCCTTTTTGTTCAGCCACTGGGAAGCATAAATGGATTTTCTGCAAATAAATTTGATTAAGGAATAAGTTGGGTTTTTTTCTCAGTTTATGTAAGCACATTTCTTAATGTGCATTTTTACATATATTTGCACTTTTTTACTGAAATAACTTATTTATATAAGGCAGTATTTAGTCAACTGTTCTACAGAATACTAAACCAAATCTGAATTTCAGGGAAGCCAGATACAGAAGTGAAAGAAGATGAAGAATACAAACGTGTTGATTTCAGTAAAGTTCCAAAGCTGAAAGCTGTTTTCCAAAAAGAAAATGGTAAATATTGTTAACAGAACTGCTTAATTTTCTGCCAAGTGCAGGGATGCTTTGTCAGGGTGGACAGTACTGTTCACAAGAGCATGAATGCTCAACAAACAGCCCTTTTATTTTTAAATGTCTGCTGAGGTAAAGAAACATGCTGCACAACAGCATGAACTGGCTTGGATTAAAAGATGGTCCAAGAGCCTTAAACAGTGAACACCTTTGTTTGGGACATTCACCTTAAAAAGAGTGACAGGTGGGTTTCAGTTTCAGTGGGCTTTGGTCTCTGCCAGGTGTAAACTCCTGTTGCTGTGCAGCTGGAGTGGTTTTACAGAGTTGCCATTGCTTCCTGAATCTGTAATTGATAAACCTTCCTGGCTAAAACTGCCTCATTCACAACCCCTCCTGAGCTGGAATTCTGTGACAATGCCAGCAGTGCAGCTGCCATGGAAGGCATGATCTAAACTAGCATGGGATAAGGATACAAGTACCTGTGGCTGCATTTGTTTCATCAAACAGATATCAAAAACCAACTCATTTTTAGTTAACTCAGTGCAACAGGTTTCACCAAATGATTGAGACTTCGTGTTCAATGAACTCAGGGAGAAACAATCCTTCATAGGATATACGTGAGCTGTTTTGCATAACACTTTCACCTCTGCCTAAGGAATGTTTTTCCTTCTCTAGGAACAGTTACAGCTGCTAATGCCAGCACTCTGAATGATGGAGCAGCTGCTTTGGTGCTGATGACTACAGATGCAGCCAACAGGCTGAAAGTCAAACCTTTGGCACGGATAGTAGGTATGATCTGCCTTACCTCTAGGAAAGTCCTGGAAAATACTCCCATAGTGTACTCCCCTGCTCTCAGGCTGGCAGTCCTGTTATGGCTGCATCTTCCCAGCACAGTCCTTGAAACTTCACGTGTTACACCAGCAGACTTTTGACCATAAACAGAATATTCTATATATAATAATAAAAATCTGAAAATGTTATTGTGTGAGTTACTTAGGGCACTACATTTTAGATGCAGCTATTTCATAGATGGTGGCATTCAGAATTTCTCTATCTTGGCAGTGTTTGCTGCTTCCAAAGAAAGAAAATAATGTATGGTAAAAACACAAGGTCTTCAAAGACTTTTTCTGATTTTTTTCATTTTTCAGCTTTTGCAGATGCTGCTGTTGATCCTATTGACTTTCCAATTGCACCTGCATATGCTGTTCCTAAGGTAAGAATAAAACTGAGTGGGTTTTGGAAAAAAAAAAGCTTCCCTAGCATTCCACTGTTGGTTCATCCTGTCTCAGTGGGTCTTCTTGAATTAGGATTGAAATTTTAATAATTACAGAGAACAGATGTTTTGCAGAGGATCAAGGCTAGACTGCAGATCTTCAGTTAACAAATTTCTCACACCTATTTTGAAGGGAGTATTGTTCTGTATTGCTTTTAGCAACTTTTGACATGTTTACACCTTTGAAGTTTTGCAGCTTATATGGCCAAAAGGCAAAATAAGTATGATTGTACATGGGTAGGCTTGTTCTAAAAGGAACTGAAGGGAAGTGTATGGTGTGAGGCAGTACTGTGTCATTTTAAATGGATTTACTGTAGCAGCAGTCTTAGTGTTGTGTGATGGAAATGCATCCTTGGATGGGCTGCTCTCCACTCTTTCTTTGGTGAAAACTCAAGTTTCTGGTTCAGTCCCTCAGTTTTGCTTTTTCCCATCTGACAAAGAGGTTCCTAAATGTGAATTTGTGAATCAGACTATGGGGAGCCTGAGTCACTGACTTCAAAATAGACCTATTATTTCCCTAATTAGTTTCCTAATTCTTTCATAGTAGTAATTATTTTGTATTATTTCTAGATTCTAAGTCAGACAGGCCTGAAAAAAGAAGACATTGCAATGTGGGAAATTAACGAAGCATTCAGTGTTGTGGTGCTGGCCAATATTAAAATGCTGGACATTGATCCACAAAAAGTAAATATTCATGGAGGAGCTGTCTCTCTTGGACATCCAATAGGGTAAGCAAAATAAGCTCTGGGTTTGCTCTGCACAGAGGCATTGTCTTCTAGGTAATGAGTTTTAAGCGAGTATGTTTGAATTTAATTCTTGATTTGGTTGTGGGAGATCTGTTCCTTCTTTGAAAGAGCTGTGCTGCATGTAGAGGTACTCTGTAACATACAGGCTGACGTGGAGGTGATTTCTTTTTCGCAAAGAAACTTTATCTATACATACACAAACAAAAATGCCATGTTGAAGAACCTTTGTGTTTATTCCTCTCTAGCTCCAGTACTTAATCTGTATTGCACAGGACTGCAGACAAAAGGATTGTTTCAGTTTTTTTGTTGGTGCTGTGTTCTGCCAATGTCCCTGTGTAGGTCAGATTAAGAATTTCCTTTTAACTAAGCTATGTTCTTTTGTTTTTCTGATACCTAGAATGTCTGGGGCAAGAATTGTCGTTCACATGGCGCATGCTTTGAAACCAGGACAATATGGTCTTGCAGGAATCTGCAATGGAGGAGGAGGTGCTTCTGCAATACTGATACAGAAGCTGTAGCCCAAGCAGCATGAGAAACACAGCCTTAAAAGCTCTCTGATCAAAACTGAGTGGTAGCTGTTACATCTTATTTATCAATCAGTGGATGAATTCTGTAACTGCTATTCTAAAATTTCCTAAAGCATCAATGATTACTGATCCAGACAACTGGCCCTTTACTGCTTTATCAGTTCAACTTTTTATACAGTGCAAGTAAGCAATGTCAAATTTTAATTTTGGCTTGACATCTGACAATAAAGAATGTTAACTATGGCTCCCTCTGTCACTGACTTAGCATTTCTTAAAGGCCCTTGAAAAGGAATTCTCTTGGTAACCCACAGAGTGCTGCTACTGGAAATGGCTGTTTTCTCCTAGAAGTCATTTGCAGTATGACAGCAGCTTGGTACTGAAGATACTTTTTTCTTATGAAAGTCATGGATAATTCACATCTTCATTAGAATCAGAGTGCCTGAGCTGAAACATTATGGTGGGTAGTGGATGGCCCAGGCAAGAGTTACCTTCGGTCTCAAACAGCAAATTAATTTGAAGTGTCACCATCACTATTAAGCATTTTCTGCTTAAGACAGTTTTGGTGATTGCCTGCCCTAGTCCCTCTGACAATTGCAATTAGAACTTAGTGTTTAATACTGGACTCTTGATCTTCAAAAACAACTGACCACCAGGACTTTTCTATTCAGTATCTGCAAAGCTGCTTAGGGGAATTAAAAACATTAAGCAAGACAGACAACTTTTTATTAAAACAAAAATATTTATTCAAGCTGTAAATGCTATGCAGTATTTAGTTACTGGATGGGTTTAATATAAACATCTACTGCATAATCTTGGTTCCTTAGGAATCCTTGTATTGTATCTGAAACATTGCCCTGTTACTGTACAGATCTCTTTCAAGAAAACTTGCAATTTTTTTTTTAAAGATGTCAACAATTTGAGAACAAGAAGAAATACCAGTAAAGACAATTCTGTAGTTTTGGAGCAAGGTGTGCTCATTCAGCAAAATGTAGGCTGAGCTCCTCCTGCACCCCTTTTGGAGAGTTTGTGTAATAGCTATGACAACCTCTATGTTAAACAGAAAAATCAGATGCAAATCCTTCCATGCCTTAAATTTTTAGCAGAGTTAGATAATATAATTTCTCAGCAGTACAAATGAAAGGTGAGGGAATTGACTTTTGCATTAGAACACACTATAATTCTTGTTTAGCTGTTGCTTCAGTTGAAGTATTCATACTGAGGCATGACCCCACACAAAAAATATGTTGCTTAAAAACAGCTTTTGCATTTGAATGACATTCAGCAGCAAATACTGTAAACAGAGAAGGCCTGTACAAATTAAAGTTCTTTTCTGAATGACTGGCTGGGAAAAAGCTCCACCAGATGAGAAATGCTTTCTGAGGTGGTACTGGCCTTATGGTTAGCTATTGTTATTTTTGTTCTTTTGTTCAAAGCCTTACAACATGGGCTTGACAGTGATGAAATAACAGAGTGTGAGCACAAGCCAGTTAGAGCTGAATATTTAAGTCCCTTTCAGATTCAACAAAACAATGAGAAGTGGCCAAGGTAGCTGCCCCATCTTAGAGTGGTGAGTGACAAACACCACCTTTTCACAGACTGGCTGAGTGCTTCAGAGGGGTAAGTAGAGAAAGCAGCAGAACACAGACAACGTGGTCTAACAGGAAATGTACAATCTTTCTTACATTTCATTTACACAAATTTACAGTTTTGCAATTTAAATGGCTCTATAATTATGCAAGTGCTTTTTCAAAAATAAACATATACCAACTCAATGATATTTACACTTTGCAACCTGCTTCAGAATCAGCATGACTTTGCTATAAAGTGAAACTTCAGTGCACTGAAAGTGCAACTTGCCCTTTAGAGTTAACTTCTCTTCCCATGCAAAACCTCAGCACTGCTCCACTGAGCTTCAGATGGCCTCACTTCAACTTCTTTTTATTCATTCATCGTAATGCAAAGACAACAAGAACTTGTCCACATCCATTCCTGCTGGAAAAGAATTTGGGAGCTTCTTTTTCTGTAGGAGAGGAAAGTAACAACTGTGTTAAATAGAACAAATCTAGGGGTACTGAAGAGTCGGCAAGCATTCTTATCCATCCATCCATCCATCCATCCCTGCACAAATCTGCCCCAGAACTCAAGACACTGCCATGTGCCCCCCTCTATGAAATAGAGCATTTTCCAGTCTCAGTGTTTCAGGAGCATGCTAGAAGTATAGGAATTATAAAGTTATACTGCTTTTTGGTTATTTAGATGCAAATACCTTTTTGTGTCTCACACCTTGGCTATTTGCCTTTAAATCCTCAAATCCAATGGTACTAAACAAAGATTCAAGAGTAGCCTGAATTCTAGTAAGGCCTACTTTGAGTTTGGCTTAATTCCTACATTCCACCTAAAAACTTGGAATTTAGAAACTCATTCATGTTTTAGGAGAAATAACGTAATTGTCATTGATACCTATTTAGAGAGTTAGTAGGAGTTACTTGTATGTATCTGAAGACTAAACCAATCTTCAAGCTTAGTTCAGAGTACGCTCAAGAGGCAAAGTTGGAAAACCTGAAAAAATCTAAATAGGATGCCAGGGATTTGCAATAGCATCTCTGAACCCTTCCATTAACAAACCGTACGCATGAAGGTACCTTATATATATTTAGAATTTTAATTAGAAGAAGTAGATGTTTGTACTTGCCTTGATTTTCTTTTTTTTGCACGGTGTTGGAGAGCTCTGAAGCTCTTTTCTGTTTGCAGAACGGGAGTTTCTCTCGCCCTCATTTAAGTCCTCGGGTTTCCTTTTCTTGACGGTGCTCCTGAGAGCCCTGAACTGCTGGGTGTTGTCCTTGAGGGGGGTGGCGGCGCTCGTCCTGGCGATGGCGGCGCGCGACAGGATCATGAGGGTGTGCGCGGCCATGCTGACGCTGTTCTCGCTGCCCGTCTCGCTGGCGGGGCTGCAGGCGGGCAGGTCGGGCGTGGCGGGCGGCACCATGACGCGCGGCGTGCCGCTCTCCTCCGCGAAGCGCCGGCACGTGGGCGTGCGCACGCTGTCCGTCGTGTCCTCCGCGTGCCTGTCCCCGACTCCGGACGGCGTGCGGGGCACCGGCAGCTCTCCGTTCTCGGCGGCCTTGGCGGCGGGGCTCTGCCACTGGATGTCCTGCAGCATCTCCACGCGCTGCTTGCCAAAGGGGCTGGACAGGCCCAGGCCTTGGCCGGAAGCTTTCGCAGCTTCTCGCTTGGGCTCCTTCGAGGACAACGCCACAGACGCCGACGATTTGCAGCTGCCGGCCCCAGTTGACAGCGACCCCTGCTTTTTGTTCAGCTCTTGTACCGAAGCAACCGTCTTCTCGTTCCATAAGGCAACGCTCTGTTGGCCGTTTGAGAGTTTGGCGGTGTCCTGGTTCTTCTGCTTTTCATCAGTGTCCCTTCGTAGCTCATTTTCTTTGTTTGCTGTCGTCTTGTGGAAAGGATCTAATGAAAGCCCTGCAGCTGCCGCCTTCCGCTCGGGCTGTGGCTCCTTTGCAGATGCGCCTCTGTTGCTACCAACTTCTGGCCTACACAGAATTCTGGGCAATGTTTTGTCTTTGTCTCTCTTTGGTACCTGTGCCTTAGCAGAGGAGCACGCAGAGTCAACAGCAAATGAAGGGCTTTCGTTTCTTTCTTTCTGGGATGAGCTCTTAGAAGGCTGAATTTGGGTGCTTCCTCCTGGAGGGGGTAGGACGTTATCAAAGCAAAGCACTCTCCTGTGACTCTCACTCTGTCTGGGATTTGAGCTTGTGCTCTCTGCTGGGGCAACAGGTAAGTTCTCTTCCACTTTCCTTCCTGCCTCTGCACTGGTAAGCTTGTCGTAATTTCCAGCCCTGAAAACGAGATGAAAACATTTCACTGATGTGTTTATTCTTACTAGGCAAGTTAACTTCAGCTGGCTGGAAGTCCCCACCCATCCCTCTAAAAACTCTCCAGCCTAAATACAAGTATTTTATCAACACATAAAGACCAAGAGTAAGGAATGACAACTGCAGAAAGCTCAGAGAAGGCTTTCTTGGCAAAAAGGTATCAAACAGAGTCTGCACATTGAACAATTAGGTAGGCTGGGGCTCTTCAGCCTGGAAAGAGAGATCACAAAGGGGAAATGCAACAGAGCTCTGAAGGAAGCTCACAAAAAGGACACTATCTGCTGCTTTTCTTCCAGTAGAAAAAACTAAGGGCATGAAATAACACTGGCATTAGGTTCAAAACACAACAAGGAGGTCTGAACACTGCATGTAACTAAACCTGGGAACTTTTTTACCTTGGGATATTGGTAGTTTGCTTGACTTCAAAAAGAAACTGAGTGCATTCATGACAGGACAGCCCCTCCCAGAATACTACTTATGGCTCTGGGATCCTTGGAGCTGAAATTCCTAAGAGGCTGCCAGAATATATTGGACAATGTAATCACATGTGTGCCTCGAACTCTTCCCTATGCACTTGCTGTGCATGGGGGGACACTGAGCAGGACAAAAAGCTTCTGGTGGACATCTGGACAACAACATCCAAAGTGCCTGGGGTGTGGTCTCCACCTGACAACCTGCCCCAACATGTGAAAAAGCCACCACTGCACTGTGGAAAGAAAAATGCTTCTGCTCTGTCAGCTCATGCCACTGTTCTGTGTGTGCCCTCTGCCTGGCTTATGCTGCATCTCCCTGCACACCTCCCTCTATGATTTCTAAGAGGAAAAGTCAAGTTTTTGGGATGCTAACTTGGTATCTTTGAAATGGTAGAAAAGGTCTGAGTGGCAGCAGCTTGTTGTATTTCCATGAAATTTGAGATGAGACAGAGGATAGGAAGTGGAAATAAGAAATTACACCTCTTTGCAGGGAAGATTTTGCTCTCTTTGCTATGCAAAACATAAATCTAGAGATCAATTAAAGATAACAGAAGGCTGAATTACTGAAGTGGTATTATCCAAGATCTTGCTTCTGTGCTTTTTTTTAAAAATCAGTACTTTTTGCATGCATGTATATGGTCTAACTTGATGTATGGTTGGGATTCTTTAATAAGTTGACTTTATTGGTCCTGTTTTATCTCCACTTTTCCAACATTTTAAGTGAGCTCTAAATAGGTAGTTTTTTTAGGTATGTGTTAGTTTTCTAATAAAAGATCATTTCACCTCTTATATTTAAATTGAACTTCTGATCTGCTCCTACACTGTTTTGCTCATTCCAACATCCTTTTCTTTCAGAAGTCCATTAATGGTGAGGAGTTACTACTGCAGCCTTGCTTCCTTCTCTCATTTGCCCAACAGAAAACTAGTGCCTACCCCAAGAAATTAAGTTATGCTCATCGACATAATGTTAGCATGCTGTTGTCCTCACCTTGCATTCAGTTCTCATTTTTAAATGATCAAGCAGAGTTCTAATCTATACAGCTGAAATACAGATGCAGAACCCAATCTTATAAACTCTACTGGATCTCTACTGGAGGTCAAAGAGAATGAGACTACACTACAAAACCATGAGTACCACTCGTGTGAAAAGAAGAAACAAAGGTTTTAGTCATTTAAATCTCCCAGTTAATGTAACAGGCAATTCTCCTAGCTTAGACTCTGCTCAAACAATTTTTATTTGACAATTGAGACAGGAGACAATGAAGACAAAGCTGTACAAAATTAACACAGGAACAGTGACGAGACAATTCTAGCACAGTCCCGGCACACATCTGTATGGATACTCCTAGCAGACAGGCAGCAGGAAAGGGGGTACTGCTTATGCCACTACTAAAAAAAGCTCCTCTCTTCACCAATACTGGATAGAGAAATTCACAACAGGAAAAAGAAAGCAAGTTTCAATACTTAGCACTACTGACCTCTGTGTTCGAAGATTTGCATGGTTCAAAGGCTCAGCTACATTTGGTACCAGTTTTCCTGGAACAAGAGATGAAGTGTTAATGAATGATAGGTAAGTAATTTTACAGTTTTAGTGCAATGACATTTCACCTGACAGAGAACCAATAAAAAAAACCCCAGCAACAAACTTCACAGTAATTTGTAACTTTAAACTTCACTAATTAGTAGACCAGCAAAGGTCCCCAACTAAGAACAAAGAAGAAGCTTGCTGCCTACACTTGGATAACGCACAGCCCTGGCAAGACAAACTACCCTGGACTTCAAAATGCACAGTAGGGATTTCCACATAGCAGGAAATTAACTCAGGGAACTCTCAGCTATCCATCAGCAAACCAGAATGCAAGCAACTATACAATCCTAGATTTTATCTTAATTTGAAATTTCATTCTATTTTCATTTTTATGTGCAAGCCTACTCTTTTAAAAAGGCACATAAGCTAAAGCACAAGTTTTCCTTATAACTCCATGTTTCTATTTTCAATTATTTTTCTTTACCTGAGAAAGAAAACACTGAGAAAGAAACATAACTCCAGTCTTGTTACAATTAACAATTTAAAGAAGCAAGGTCTCAATGAAAAGAATATACAGAAGCATATGCCTGAAAGGGCAAAAGGAGAACAGGTAGTAGAGTGTATTTTTTATATAAACATCCAACACTTCTAATAAATATTTTTCATTAATAAAATTTTAGAACTGCTGACTCTTCTAATATCTTCATTACTATGTGGCTTGGTTCCAATGGCAGCAGTAAACTACTTAAAACCAACAAGATGAAAAATAACCAGAAACATAAAGAAAAGTAAACTTCTAAAACTGCCTGAGAGCCTTGAAACATCACATTTTGGAAATAAGCTTGATACAAAAACTGGAATTATGTCATATGTTGGAAGTTCTCTGTAAACTGACCAAACAAGAGTCACTAACTGCAGGTACAGACCTCTCTCACGACAGCCCAGCAGCTGCCAGGAACAGAAGCAGAGATATTTATAAAACTTTTTTTACTTAGAACTGACTTGTCCTTAGAACCCTCTGCTTTTCTTCTGCCCCTCTCAAGAACGCAAGGCAGGCACCTGTAGTATTCCTGTTTCTTGCTCCAGGAATCTTCTGTGATTTGGGAGGGATGGGAAGCTTTGGGACACTTCCATTGCACACTGGATTAGCCACAGGCATGTGAAGAACCTTGAAAGAATCAAAATATCCTATTACAATTTACCAAAGCACTTCTTATCACTGCAGCTTTAATCTTGAAAATCTTTGTGATGTGCTACCTGGCAGGCAGGTGCTGAGAACGTATTTCCATTCTGTCCTACTACGGAGAGAGGTATCATTCCCACCATTCCTTGCAAAACTGGCTGCACTGGAGATGCAATTATAATGGCAGAGCCTAAAAAATACCAAAGTGTTAAGATTGTACAGAAACTAAAAATACTTCAGTGAAAAGAAAAGCTTCTTAAAATTATGTGTGGTGAAAACCTGTGGCAAGAAAAGCTCTGGATTTTTAGAAAAACTTCACTGTCCTTTGCTATAGTTCACTACTAGAAAACAGGGTAAGCACCAGTTTTATTTTTAGTTTATAAGGCATTCTTTAGTTAAAGTCTGTATTCCTTTTTAAGAGGTAGCTCAAAATAAAGTATGATAAACCTATCTTAACATTTAAACTTTAAATTAAAGTGATCTATACAAAACAGTAAAAGTAACATTAAATATCATATTTAGCTGCCAGATATATGTGAATTATAAAATATGGAAACTATCCTGGCACATTAACTGAAAAGTGGAAGAATATTTTCAAAAGTGAAAGGAAACTGTTCCTCTCTCTATGACAAAAGCATTGAAGGTAAGAGCTACATAAAGAAATCAAATGGCAGAAAAGGCTGTCACCCTAAGACCTTGCATGTACTGGTCTCTGTCCTCAATTAAATGACTACACACAGAAATTCAAAGGTAACTGCAAAAAAGTTCATAGTTTTTGAAAGGAATCTAAATGTGGTGATTACAGCTGGTTTATAGCTGGTTTTTCATTTCAAAGTGCACTCAAGATGTTTATTGCTGTAGTAATAAAAATGCTTGTATAGATATTAAATCATGGAAAGAAATAATGTAACACTTTCATGTTTACTTAAATATATTTCTAATGCAGACTAGGTTTTGAAATTTGAAACAAAACCAAGAAAGTGACTTGGGAAGGACTAGATACATCTACCCAGTTATCTACACAAAATATGGATACCTATAACATAGAGCATTGCACTTATAACTGGAATCTTATTAAAATAAAAACCTGTTTTATTTAGCCAAGGTAATGGAATCCTGTCCAATGTAAACCAAAATACGTTTACTACATCTAATGCTGCTAAAATTATAATCAGTTCAGCTTCTGAAATATGAGGCTTTTTTTTTATTCAAAGCAGCCTGATCAATGACTTCTCATAGTTTTAGTTCATTTCTACTAGCAGCGAATATTCTAAAAAAAAAAGTAGCTCCTGGATAGTTGCAAGTGGCAGACAGAGCAATTTAAAAATTGTTTTACTTTTAATGTTTACTTAGTGGAAAAACAAAAATAACAAACACCACATTTTCAGTACTTTTCTAATGATGAGATTACCCTGTGGGAAGTTTGGGGAGACAGTCTGGTTTGCTGGAAATGTACTGCTGGATCTGGGAGGAGTCCGCAACTGCTGTACAGCTGGAGCTTGGGAGGCCAGGGGCATAGAACTGCCAGGCAATACCACCACATTTGATGGTGTTACAGCTGCACCCAAGGCTGCTGGATCAGTCATACACGTGGCTATGTAAAGGTTGCTGGAATTCCCAAAAGCTGTGCTCGTGGCTGGCATCAACTGTATAAATCCCCCTTCGGTGGAAAGATGAGTTGAACTTGCAACTGAAAAGCCAGCGCAGTCTTCACTCTGAGTGTTAACCGAGGTAACCACAGGATCCTTAGGTCTAAGCACGAGAAGATTCTGCTCGGCTAGAGCTGAATCCGTATTTTTTTCTGTGTCTTCTGAAGTCAGACATTTGGGCAGGCCTGGGGTTTTGGCTGGGGATTTGGCTGGAGATGACAATATTATAGTAGGCAAATTTTCTCCTGTGATGCTGGAAACAGCATTATTTAACTCTGTGTCTGATGCTATAAAGGGATCATCACTGATGATGATCTTGAGGGACATTATATTAGAAGGATCAACATCCATTGGTTGACTACTAGAAGATACACTGCTTATACTTTTGGCCTCAGTACCTGACTCCTCTGCTGAGGATGCAGTTTCAGGCAGAGGAGAGTGGCATATTTCAGAGGTAGTAAGATTGTTTTCAGTGGATACTACAGAAATATCTGTACATGCATTATTACCAGATGAGAAATATAAATTATCAGTGTCTACTTTTGTTGAAGATGAAGGTTCTTGCATCTCCCCTTGTGTTCCCTCTGTGTTTGGCAGTTCTGAAGGGAGGTTAAAATCTTTCTTACAAGGCTTATCAAGTGTATGCTGATCACTTGAGTAAGTTTTGTTAGATGTATCAACAACTTCAAGCTGCAACTCTGTTTTGTCAAGATCCGTGATGTCCACCACAGATCCCGCAGCACAGTCTGCCTGTGTGCTCTGGTCCTGATGGTTAGAGGGGCGGCTGGAGTTCTCCTCTGGAACACCAGGCAAGGCAGCTGGATCACTGGTTACAGTCTGTTCTTTTCCTACATCTGCCAGTGGGCTAGAAATGGAGGAGTTGTTTTTTCTCAGCAGTGCACTGTGGCCAGGGCCCCCATCAGAAGGGCTTCCAGGAAGTCTTTTTTCAGACAGTGATGTATCTGGTGATAATGGGCATTTACTTCCTGAATCAGTTTTGTTTTCACCAGCTATAGTATCCTCTGCCACTGAAATCAAAGGAATCTGTGGAGTGCCAGAATGAACATATTCTAAATTAGGACTACTTTGAGAACTATCACTTGGTGAGCCTTTTTCAATTTCCATAGCACTCTCACTTTCAGATACTAATGTAGATGACTCTTTTGTAATGTAAGTGTCTGCACACTGTTCATTACATTTGCTGTCAGGACTTGGTCTCTTGTTAGGTTCAGTCAAATCAGACACTGAGTCAAAAGCAATTTCATGCTCTCTGATATGTTCAGGGGTAATGGCTGTAAGTTCTTCAGTCTGCTTCCTTGGTCTACAGTTTCCATGCAGCTGTTCACTGGCTGGACTTTTCTTAGCCATATCATCATCATCATTAATGCTGGTCTTCAAGGCACATGATGCTTCTCCTAACTGAAAGCCTTTACAGGATAGCGGTTCTCTAGAATTATCACCTGCAAAAGACAGAATAAACCAGTTCCACAATTTTTAAAGCAGATGATCCTTTTAGAGCATTTTAGAAATAACTATCAGTTCAATGGAAAACTATTTCCTATGAAACTAAGTGGGAATGTTACTCATCCTTACATTCAAGTTGAGTGGAATATATATAAAAAACATACATAAACTAGATAATCTGGAAAATCAGTTTGTACATTAGTAGTAAGTACACACATAACATGTAAAGAGCTCAGGTCACTACATCAGATTTCCAGAAGCACAAAAACCATCTCTTGGCTCTACTGCTCATATACTTTCACTAAATACCTGCTACTCATGAACTATTGTTCAGAATGGTGGACACAAAGTAACATCCCCTTTGTCCAGAGTAAAACTCTTTTTGTGTATTAATTAACAGATACATTACAGGATAGAGTTAAAAGATTAATATGATTAGATGTAAAATATTCTCTTTATATGTTTCCCAATGGACACTGCAAAGTATCCATTTACTGACAGCCTGCTTGCACTAAGGAGCTTATCAAGTACAATTTTAAAGTACACTGATGGAATTACTGTTAAATTTAATAGATTGAAACTTTGTAACAGGCCAGGTGTATCTGTTTGTTCACACAATGTAAAAGTCCACATGGATATTACCAGTGAAAAAATAAAATTCTGAGATGTACAAATTGTCTGAAAATATTTTCATAATGAAAAGTTAACAGAGAAATCTTAGAGGGGAAAAAAAACCAAAACAAAACCATACATCTGTTAGTTTCTTCTGTTCCTAAAGAACTTCCAAATGTTTCCAGGCTATCCTCAGCCACCAGGATTTCGTTCTCCACTCCATTCCGACCAGAAATAGAACCAGGTAAGTTCTTGTTTACCTTGCTCTTTCCTATTTTCAAAATAAAGCATGAAAAATGGTTAAATATGTAATTTTCTACATGTATGTCATCACTACCTTTTAAATGAACCAGAGTGTAAAGATCTCCTTATGGTTCACGTGAGGATACCCCTGAAAATTTTACAACAGCAAACAAGTATAAACTATCATCCTTCAGAGCTAGAGTGTCTAAAAAAACAGCAAGAAAATAATCACTGAGCCAGCACAAACCCAGAATATCAGCCACAGAAACATGCTGTACTTACACACAACTTTAAAGCTGTGTATAAATGTATCTAAGAATCTGATTCTGTATTAAGGCATACCAATGTCATTTCTCTGGCAAGAGGCCTGCTGAATTCCTTTGCCTTGTCAAGCAATGCTTGGGAAAGCGCATCATTCAGGATGCTTTACAGTAACAGCACAAGTGAGTACAATGTAGCCTACCATAATCAAAGCAGTCAAACAGAGCCTGGAAATCTGGATCTGATTCTGTCTGCTCCAGAATGTCCTGGATAGCCTCTTCTGACATATGAATTTCACCCTGAGAAAAGACACGAGATACAGAACTGTTAGTTACTTCCACAGCTTAAAAAGAAAAATAGACAAGAAGCGTTTTCTTTTCAGGTTGTTTTTAGTTCTATTACTTCTGCTCAGCACAGAAACAAAAAGAATAATGCTGGGAACATTTCTGCCACAGATTTCAAAAATCTTAGCGATTGAAGTTGAAGAAATGAGGTTCTCCAAAACTCAAATATGTCTGTCAGACATCACCCCCACCATGTGTGTACTGGAGTATTCTCCACATAGTGGCCACCACTAACCAAAAAAGGAGGACTAAATCTCAGGCTACACTGGAAGCTTATGCACGTGGTATGGATGCTGTGAGCCTGTACAAGCAAACCACTGGTTTAAAAAAATCCCCAAATTAATCCTAATTTCTTAAATTTGAATATATTATATATCTAGAAGCCAACACTAAGTAAATGGAAGTTTTATTTCATATGCCAATTACATGTTCTATGTTACAGCCTCCAACTACTTCTTTGTGGAAGGCATTTTGGAAAGCACAGCTACACGGGACAGAGCTCTAAGGCTCCTGATTCTTTTTCTGTGGCAGCTCAGGAATAAAATGAGGATCCAGTACATACTCAAGCAATTAAGTACAAAGTTTCTCCTGCCTTTCTCGAGACCCTCTAAGCACTCTCCAACCTTTGATACATATCTCCACCTTTAAGGGTGGATATTCCACGTTATATCCTTGATTTTGTCTCAGCAGCTCCAACCAAACCAAGAAGCTGCTTTATTTCTGCTCAGCAGAGTGAATACAGCTTTGTAGCTCTGTATTTTGACAACTGACCTAAAATCACCAAGCAACAGAAGAATAGCATTTATGAACCAGACACCTCTACTTCATAAACAGGGAACTGCCTCTACTCTCCTGTCTTTCTCATGAAGGCTGTGAAATTTCCCTCATTAAAAGTCTTTTTTAATTCTATGATTGCCAGCTTGAGACTTACAGAAAAATGAAGGGAGAACACTATAATTATGTTTAGTTTGTAGAAGCAGAACACACATTTCCTTCAAAAGCAAGAAAATACAAAATTTGAAGAAAAAGTATCATTATTTAGGCTCAAAAAATAATTTCTCTTGCTATACTAAATGATCCATGGTTATCTTGGAGTAAATCACAAAATCAGACCAGATTAAATGTATTTGGAGACAGCAAGGTATTTTAAGTTTTTTTTTCTTTAAGGCTATTGATTAGATCCCTAGTCAGAAGCTGGTAGCCAATTACTGATATGAAAGACTGAGTGAGAGACAGGCAGTTCTTAAATCCAGTCTGAGTGTAGGGTTACCAGCTAATTACTGACAGAATCAATCCCACTCTCTTGGCTTCAACCCTGCTGCATGCTTATGCTGCCTTGGACAGGCATGGGAATGAATTCAGAATGCTAAACTGGCACAAAACAAGCTCCTGCAGAACACCAGTGTGCTGCCAGCTCAGCTCCTGAACCTGCCCTGCACCACACAAGGTCAGAGTTCACATCTCTGCAAGGGGAGCTGACCCTGCACAGAGGGGAGCATCGGGGAGGCTCAGCTGTGCTGCAAACAGAAACAAGAAAAGGAAGGATAGGAAGAGGAGAGAATATCCTCAGATGTCAGAGGTTCAGCATAGGTCCATCATTCTCACATGCCTGGGCCTAAAAACAATGTGATGAGGGCAATCTACACCTACCTGAAGTCCAAGGATTTCATCAATTGAAGTCTCCTGTTCTGTGGGACCACTGTCTGTCTGTTTAGGGGCCTGAGCAACACTGCCATCACTGCAACACGTACATCATTAGTTCAAAAGTCAAAAATAATTTAAATAAGAATATATATTAAGTTTAGAGGCTCCTTTTATTACCTCCCCAGGATTTTGTTAATGTTTTCAGCGAGCTTCTCCTGAAGAGATTTGCTGCTCAGGATCTTTTCTCTGGCATTTTCAATAACCAGTTGCTGGAAAATAGTTTTGAAATGGTCAGGTTTCTATTTTTAACATCACAAGAAAAGGAGCAAAAAACATCACAAGAAATTTTCTGACTAACCAGAAAAAAATAATTTAAAAATCAATTCAAAGAGAGAAGACTTTTATAACAGAGAGTCATCTGTGACTGCATTACATTGCTATGAAAATCAGCCCAAAACATTCCTGTGCTTCTACTCCCCCGAAGGACAGCTAGGCTTAATGTGCCTTCTGGTTTCCATTCTCTGAAGAATTACTGTATTCTGACAGCCTACAGGTATCTTAGCAAAGCAAATAAACCAAGAAAAACAAAACTCTACATAGCCATGTCAACTTTATGAATTTAGTACACACAAGAGCTAGTTCAAATACAAACCAATACATTTATCTTTTAAATGTCATTTCTGTAAAAAACAGGAAGAACAACATGTTAAAGATTAGTTCTCTTGAATTTGACTTTGTTTCTTAAGTGTAAATACCTTCTGTAGGCATATACTCACTGGGAAGTTACCATCAATTAATTCTTCTAGGGGCTCACTTTCTTTTTCTACTACTGCTTCTTCAGAGTCCTGAGAACTTCTAGCTGCTGAAAGAGGTCCAGATGTTGCAATATTTTTCCTCTTCTGAGATTCACTGAAACATTCCAGGAAATTTATGACACAGTTTATGAGAAAATTGCAAACAGTAGACCTAATGGTGAGTAAATCAAGTGCTTCTCTTTCTCTGTAGCAAACAAAAGATCTTAATCACTAGAAAATTAACTACATATTGAAAATGCAGTAAAAGCTGGTACCTGTTTTACTATCTCTTATGCATCTATTGTGTCTGCCTTTAGAGAAGTTATAAATTCAGAGATTGTAGGTAAACAGCTCAATAGCAAACTGAATTCCATGCCCACTATTCAGCATTTACTGCCCCTCCACTACATGTTACTCTAACTGGTGGTAGCAGTTACTGGATCCTAATTAACTGCAACTCACAATCAGATTTGGGCATTACCACTGAAAACAAAGACTTCTCAAGGAGCACTTATTTTCAAAGAAGAAAACAAATCTTAAGTTCTGTAAGAATTTAGTTGATAAATAGGAAAAGTAATGTTTTTATAGGAGACAGTGTAGGCTCTTCTGAAAACATCTATCAGCAGGGGCACTAAAATTACATTTAAAAAAATCAAGACAGATTAGGAAAGACTTGGGGAAAAATGGACATCTGAATCAGAGAATAAAAAATGCAAAACTAGTACAAAAGAAGTTTTTCACACAACTTCTAGTGCAAATATTAATATTTTTCTGACAAAATTTACTCAACTCAATAATTTTATGAAGTTAAATACACATTTTTATCAATATTAAGAATTTTCATAATTGAAAAGGACATTTTGGAAGGAATACCAAGACTCAGCTCCAAGATTATTTGCCTAAGTCTAGTAGTGGAGTAAAGACAGAGTGTACCCAAAGAAGCCTACAGTTAAGCTCTTTGACTTCCCTTTCCACTGTGAAACAACAAACACTAGCCCACCTCAGCAGATCTCACATTTGAAACACTCCACCACTAAAGAAAACTTACACTAAAGGTTAGAACACTGTCTAATTTCTAAACAATTAAACAAAAAAAACCACCCAAAACCAAACAGACATCCCTGTTTACCTTTTTCGCCTTCCTGGAGAAAGCAAGTTTGAATGAAGCTTTCGTTCTTGTGATGTTGGAACCTGAATGTGTATGAGACCTCCTGCTTTATAGAGGGAAAAAACAAAAATAGAAGTCATGATGCCAACACCTTCTCCAGAGACACTGCTAAAGCACTACATGATCTACATGTTGCTTACTATGTTCTAATCAATTCCTGGAAAGTCATACAAAAGAATTTGGTATTATCATGGAAATGAGGATCAGTCCTTTTAAACATATCCTGAAACAGACATTCACTTAATGTGGATCATCCCTATCTGATGAAACAAGTTATTTGGGTGAGGATGAGAGCACAGAACAGAAGAACCACAAATTAATGCACTTCTGATTTCTGAACTCACATTGGCAAGCAAGTATGCAACAGCCATCTCTCTTTTGGGCACTAATTTTCTTTTAATCACCTGAACCAGTCTGGACAGTTGGGGAACAATGCATGAATTTTCTGGAACATTTTGGTGGAAGATGATTATCCCTGATTTTTAGAAAACTTCCATTGATAAACATAGATTTTTCACAGAAAAATAAGGTTTAAAACTTTTTGCAACTTACTGTTGATCTTGTTTTCTTGAGCTTGTGACTGGTTCACAAACAGTGTACTCAGTCTTGTCTGTGGCATGCTTTGATTTACTGCTGGCCTGTGAATTGCTTGAGGAGGTACAACAGAAGAAGAGGAATTCTGCTGCCCTGACTGATGGGCTACTGACAACAGTCCTGAGTTTGCAGGAGCTGACTGCTGAAGCATTCTCTGCCTTTTCATTTCTACAATTCCACTTCTTGTACGTACTGGAAATAAAGATGAGATGAAAACATAAGATAAAGGAATTTTTAAAAATTGCTGATATTCACACAAAATCTGTTTAAAAAAATCTAAACAACGGAACACCACCCAATCCAGTGAATCTCAAATCTGGGAACAATCACTATCTGTATCTCACACACTGTTTTCTTATACAGTACAAATGCTACAGAGAACAACTTATTTTTAAGTAAACCAATTTTTCTTTGTTGACAGCACATTTTCAGCTTCTGTAATGAAAGAAACACCTTTAGATACAAAAGCGTGTTTTTGTATTTTAGTTGGATATATGTTTGTATATATAACAAATGCTACAAGACTGTAATATGTTTTTATGTTCCCCTCCTACAGAAATCTAACCACATTATAATTAGACCATCTACATTTTTAATTCATCTATGAACCACAAATTAAGTCAGCAGTTTCAGGAGTGAAACAGCAGTTTTTAAACCTTTTAACCATGTAAACTTCCAAAAAGGTTTTTTTTTTTTTTAGCAGAGAAAATGCTATAATAGAGAATTTATGCCCCTTGCAAAAAGCTCAGCTTTTCTTATTTTCCTTTCCTGATCATTACAGTATTTCACAGACCCAAATGAAGACAACAGACATGCATTACTGACAGCTGCAGAAGGCCCCTATTTTTTGCGAAAACAGGTAACTTTAACATAAAACCTACTGATCCCATGGAATTGACTCAGTTACTTACTCCTCTGGTTAGAAGAAAATCTGAAATCTGAACTCTGCATGCTCCTAAAAAACAAAGCAAGTGACAGAAATGAATGGAGCATAATGGAAGCACTCAGCTACATACACAGTGTGACACTACTTATCTCGTGAGTAATGTCACTCTGATCCTAACCACAAATTCCTTCTGAAAAATCCATTGATTGCTCTTTATATTCTTTCCAACAATCATCACAGATCCTTCAAGTGCAGCTTACTGTTTCATTTTTGATCAAGTAACCACAAAGATATCAGATTCTAAATGAGTCATAGTATATTGTTTTACTACAAGATCACATGCTCACATTAATGCCCTCCTTATTTGCTAGCCCCTCCTTAAAATCTTGAAATGTCTGCTCAACTATCAGCTCTAACATACCAATCTTTTTCACCGTCTCTCAAGGAAACAGAGAGTTAAACCACTCTCATACAATGATAAGGGGAGTTGGTCAACACAGGGACTCACTCTCAGAATGAAATATTACTTTCTTGATTTCAACACTACATTACCTGATCTGAGAAAGTGTATAGTCTAATTTTTTCCACAGAGATGACATCATTGCTGGAACCTCATTTGTTGTTTCTGAAATGAACCACAAAAACAAACTGATGCCCAAAACCAATATATGCTGAGAGAAAAGTAAAATCACAAAATAATTATTATGGAGTGTTTCAGACATCATCTAACTTCAGATGCCTAGCTGCCTTCTTAATATTCTATTAGTTAGAGAGTCCTAACTCCTAATTTAATGAATTCAGATTGATATGGATACAGTTCTGGTTTAGAAGCCTTGATGAAACTGAATTAACGACTATAACTCTTGGTGGAATTTGCACATGGTGTTGACTCCTCAGCAAACACATGCTAACCTAACCCATGCTAACCGCTCCAACTCACTTCTGGAAATGGCATTCATATTCCCAAGTCACTTTTGTGCCTTTGAATATCATAACCTGGCAGACAGGCCTTTAAAAGTAATAGTTTATTTTATGATATGACCCAAACAGGTAAAAACATTTGGTCTTTCTGAAGCACAGAACATTAGAAGTGCGATGGAAAAGATAAGTAAACAGTTCAATTTACTAAATTTTTCAAGATGCCAAGTACAAAGCATTTTGAAGGAAGTACATCTGTGTTTTAGTTACCATTTCTGTCAAAGATAGTGTGAAAGGAAAAAAATGTTCAGAAATGTTCCATGTATAATTTTTAATACCAAGCACCATTAAAATATGATAATACAACAGATATCAAAAACCTGTAAGATTTGGAAACATTCAGAGGCTTGATAACTAATTTAAAAACCAGCTCTGCCTACAGTACTCATACAAAATATTAAGTAGTTCTGAAACTATTTTAGTTAGTCTTAAAAACAAGATAAGATATATGTCATACCATAGGACTCCTCCTGATTATTTCATGGAATCACAGAATACCTTAGGTTGGAAGGGATCCACAAGGATCATTGAGCCCAACTCCCTGCTCCCCACTGGGCTACCTAACTCCAAACCATGCGACTGAAAGCATTGTCCAGATTCTCCTTGAACTCTGACAGGGCTCAGTGCCATGAGCACTTCCTTGGGTAGCCTGTTCCAGTGACTGACCACCCTCTCAGTGAAGAACCCTTTCCTAAGATCCAATCTGAACTTCCCCTGACACAGCATTTCATTTTTCTCTCATTCTGTTGTTGGTCACAAGACAGATAAGCACCTCCCCCTCCTATTAATAGTATAAACAATAAGCAGTATAATTTCACAAGCACAAAGTTATACATTTTTCACATTTTATTGTATCTCTATGCTTTTGAGATATAAAAATGCTCACATTTGAAGTGAAAATATATGCTGGCATATGCAAACTAACAGAATCAATTACTTTTGCTCACTAGATGTCATGGCTGTTGGCTGTGTAATTTGGTAACCTTCAAACTGAAGCCCAAATGGGGGATTACTCTAAGACCATACACGTCTTCCTCAAGGAGGTCACAAGAGATAAATAAAAATAAAACAACACCTCATTCTGAAGGCTTACCTTTTGTTTTCATGGCTACGTATTCGTTAAGAATAGTTGTCAAGTTTTTTCCACACAGCGACTGGAAAAAAAAACCAACTGATCTTAGAATTTTCACTAAAAACTTCTGCTTCATCTACTGTAGCACATCATATTTAACGAGTTCTTTAGCACTCTACACCATGCTGACCCTCAGTACCAGGGACTGTACTTGGGAGAGAGCCATCAATGGATTAAAATCATTTTATGTACCCAAAATGTGAAGTACTCTATCTCAAGGCACAACACTGCTAGATAGAGCGGTCTGACCTTCACTCACCTTTTTTATTATGGAATAAACCCATGAAAAGTAGATGATGAACAGCACGATGCTCATTAGTCTGTTACTGATGAGCAGTAACTAATGAGTACATATCATGCTGGAAAAGAACATGCACTAAGATGCAAACATGAAGGAACCTCTGTCTGAAGCAAACTTTTTAATAGTCACACAGAATTAACCTTCTTATCATGTTTACTTGTCCTGTAATTTTAGCTTACACATAGATAATTAAAATTTTAAAGGTACCACTATCCTGTCTGTACCTTCCTCTCTTGTTTACTAGTGGGAACTCTACAAGACATGACAAGTAGAGTCCTTTATTGCAAGTATTTGAGCTGCAGTAAGAATTCTGTCTTACATACTATGATATCACTTTTATGTGAATAATAGAAAAAACATTTCTACTGTGAAAAGGATGACTGTAAAAAAGCTTTATTAATCTGGATAACCTATCTACATTTAGGTTTTCTAATTTTTGATGGCCATAGCTTGGTTCTCAACTCCCTAACACTGAAGTACAGATGACTGAACACTTGCAAATGAAATAAATTCAATAGTTGGTTTTGAAAAGGTGCATCAAGAAAGTGCACCTTGGATCTCAGAAAAAACTTCCACAAATATTGAATACTGTGGACAAAGTCCCAGACCATGAAATTAACTTACATACTAGCAGAATGAAACAGCAAACATGAATAGGACACACACATAAACACTAAAAGTTTGATACACAGCAATACCTAAACCCTGTAATTTGCACAGTGTAGTAAAAATTCAATTTTGTATATTTGTTTAAAATGCAAACTATCTAATTATGCTATAGCCCTACACATGTATCTGCAGATGTGGCTGCACACTATTCATGCACACCCAAAATTCTGCCTTTCACTCAGAACAATGGATATGATACTGAACAGAGAGGCTGAACACAGTTTTTGTCAATAAAGTTTGGCAGACTCAGACAAATCTGAGGTGCCTTACCTAAATATTTACAATGTACCTGAAATGGAACATTATTGGCTGCCATGTCTAGAATAGGAAAGTGATCTTCAGTAAATTACAAAAGCAGCCCTAAAATCAATAAAACCCTTGTAAGAACACCCTTCCATAAATCAACCTCAAAGCTGTAATGCAGACTAAGCATAATATGCTGAAACCAATTGGCAAATTCAATTTGCATATTTCACACTTAAATGTTTCTTGGCAAGCTTAAATACTAGAAACCAAATAACTGCTAATATCATAGGATAAAAAACACTAAACAAATCAAATATCAAACAGTTTAAGCAACATTTGAGAATTAACTGTTACAGTGAGAAATCCCCAATATTGTTTTCCATGGATGCAAGGCAATGTAACTTTCTGCTTTGCAAATACAAACTCACCAGCAAGCAGGCTGGAATAAAACCATCTTCTGTACAGTGCTCTGCATATTCTTTCAAATCTGAGCTTTCCAGAATAAATTGATGGCAGGTAGCTTGAAGATTTTCCTGTTGCAAGTAGCCTGCAACAAATCAGATAGAAAATTTTGCCATTTCATTCATTACTTCTGCTAAATAGGCATCAAAGCTGGATACAGTGTTAGAATAATCAGATAAAAATTTATATGTAAGAAAAGAAAAGTTATGTTATTTTGAAAATACTTAAGTTCCTATCAGATATTTAACAGTTAAAACCCAGAAGAGCAAAAAATAAAGATTGGAATTACACTGTATTTACAAAGTATTCAAGATTGAAAGTGAGGCAGTATGAAAAAATTTTGGCCTATCTTTAGTACACACAATAAAATAAAAGTTCTTGGCTCAGAAGGCTGACAAACAAACCCTCATATGGGCTGAACCACTTTACTTGGTACTCCACCAGAAATCTACAACATTTTGTTAATAAAATGCATTGCTATGTAAGAGTAATTCTCCATACGTTGTACTGTTTGAATAGAGGTAAATCCTGTACAGCTGCTGCAACAATGGATAAGATTTATTAAAAATGTTGGCATTTTAATAAAACTAGAAAAAGGTTTTTTCCCTCCTCACTTACAGTCGTTTTCATTTAGGATAGATGTACTAGATGCAAATTGTGCTCTCTACACCCTAAGACTCAGTAATTATCAGCACACGAAATGTACTGACAAAGTTTTCCAAAATTCCGTTCCTCATCAAATATATTCTGCTTTCATCAAACTTTTTACCCTGCTTTAATCTTCAAACACCTTAAACACTAAAAGATAGAAATGGACCAATCTTAATGAAGGATTTTAGAACAAAGACCCACAAAGAAAAGGTTTCTTCTTTCTTTATCTTCGCAGAGCTTAGCATGGAATGTTTTAAGGGTAAGATAAAACATGTGCCTAGTTAAACAATGCAGGACATATACATTATCTATTTCAATGAACCCCCAAAATGGTCTACCTCAGTTCATGAAGAAAAATGCACCCTTTAAGTTTATAAGAAAACAAGTATCTTTCAGCAGATCTGAATACACTGAGGAAAACAAATAGTCTTTCCAACATGCCAAGCCTTGTTCAAGTCTTCAACAAGCAGGCAAATTTGAAAGTTAAACACAGCCTGGGAATAACCACTGTGAATTTAATCACAATGTATGAGCAGGCCTATCTGACAGAAAACATTAGTGGAATGGATAAGGAATATCTTATTTAATCTTTCAATTACATTCTTCTAGAAAAATCTCGAGCCACAAGTGGCTGAATGTGTATTTCTCATAAACACAATGATATCTCCCTGTTGTCCAGGGTAGATGGGGTATGAGGCTCGGTGGAGCTCTGATCTGTGCTGGTATGGCTGCTCTTACAACCAAACTCACCTGAACACCAACACGAAAAGCTGCAATTTTTCTTTCTTGAACCTGCAACTACAGTATCACAAGGGATGGCTGAATGCTTGCATACGGGCACGTTTTACACACACCAATTTCCTGGTAATAAAGCATTCCAAAGGCTGAAAATGCCTGTGCAGCTGGCCCAAAGTGCTTGTGCACACACTGTATAATGACATAGGAGTATGTGATCCCTAAGGTTGCCAAATCAGATTAAAGGCACAAAAGGTAATATATCTTTGGAACATATGGAAATTATTCAATATTTTGTTCTTAAGAAATTTCTTAAGACATTTCTTAAGAAATGTCTAACCCATAGGACACATTCACTCTATCAAATAGGAAAAGATAAATGTTCCTATGCATTTTCCTCTGTGTGAGCTCAGCTTATCATTTTAGTATTGTTTCTTTAACAAATATTCATCAACCTTCACAGCACCAGAAAGATTTTGGGGGGAGCTTGGGGGAGAAAGATGGAAAAGCTGCACTGGGAAGTCTGTTTACCCACTGAAATTCAGAGATGCCTCACAGAAGAGGAATCCCTATTAGAAAACAGAAATGGTTACAAGGAATATCCTGCTCTACACCCTTAGGTTGCTCAGAGGTTTCCCAGACATGATGCATGCTCCATGCCACAACAGACACGAGATAGGATGGATCACTCTCAGTGTACATGATGCCAAGATTGTGTACTGCATCTTCAAGTCTCTGGTAAGCACATAAGAAACACATTCTACCTGGAAACTTGCAATTTCACCAATCTTGTTTGGAAGAGTGCAATGAGAGATCTCACTTGTATGAATTCAAATGTTCTTTTACAGTTCATAGAGCTTCCAAAAATCCTGTTACTTCACAGTAATAAAAAACCTGCATCTCTTACTAGCCTTTTTTCTCAAGACAATAGCAAGTAGCATTTCAGGTAGGACTTAAAAAGAAATTGTGCTGGGGGAACACTGAAGAAGAGATTAATGGCTTTGGATTTTAAAAAACCGTGAACAACTGAAAACTGAATCTCACAGGGCAAGCTGCCAGGAAATCTTGGCAACCTGTGCCAATAGGTTCTTACTATGTGTGGGACTGAAATACGTGGGTCACATTTTGCTAACCATCGATTTGCTCTCACCTTTGGCAGGATCTAAATAATCCAAAGCATTAAGTAATTTTAAAAATTCACTGTGTGCGGCCAGTATCATGAACACACTTATGCTGTGCTTTCCACAGACTCTGATCGCGCCTGAACTTTTAGCGCACCCTCAAAGGTGAGCAAAACACAGCCGGAAAGAAAAACCATCTGACCCTTAACGCAGCCTTCCCTGGGATTTCAGGTCACCCTCGGACTCCTCCTGTAACCAGGAACTGTTCAAGCCCAGCTCAGCAGCTCCCAGTCCGCAGGTGGGCACCGGGGACCACACCACGTTTCCTCGGAGCCGTGCTGAAGCCGAGTCCAAGGCACGGCCGGGGAGCGGCCTGGTCCCTCAGCACCCGAGTCCCACAGGAGCCAGCTGCGCTCGCTCCCCGGCAGAGGCCGGGCCGGAGAGCGGCGGGCCAGCCCAGGGACCGCCCGGTACGAACCCCGGCAGCGACAATCCCAGCCTGGGGGGACCAAGAGGCGCTGCCGAGGACCAAGGGCGAAGCCGGCTCCGTCCCGCCGCGCCTCGGGCGGCTGACAATGCCCGGCAGAGCCCTCCCGGCGCGGCCGGTGGTCCGCGCCCCACCCGTGCATCCCTCCGTCCCTGCCGGCTCACTCACCCAGCACCAGCCGGGCCACGTCGGACGGCAGCAGCATGGCCCGAGGCGGAGCGGGGCACGGGCGGGCGCAGCTCCCCGAGCGCAGCCGGCCGCCCCGCCAGCCAGGCGAAGGCGCGGAAACTCCGCCAGCCAGCGCCGCGCCCAGCCCCTTCCGCCGGAACCCGCCGCGGCCACTCATCCGCTTCCAGGTCCGCCCGCAGCCGCTGCTTCCACACGTGAGCCCCGCTCGGCTCCGCGCCGCGCCGCCGGGAGCGGGGCTGCGTGCGCCCCGGCCGAGGTGAGGGGCCGGGCCCGGGCGGGGCGGCCGCGGCCCCGGCTGCGGGTGCTGAGGGGCGGCTCGCGGGCCGCGGGGGGCGGCGGCCCGGGGTTGCCGGGGACCGGAGCCGCCGCTCGGCGCTGCGGGTCTGCCTGTGCCGGGGCACCTCGCAGCGCCTCAGCCGGCTCCTCTCGCCGCCCTTCAGGGTATTCGGTGCGCCTGCATTCCCCTGGGTCGGTCATGTAGCGCGTGAAGGTGGCCGCCATGTGGTAGTTAGAAAACTGTGTAGCCAGGAAGAGAAGTAGCGGATTCATTCTAGGGAATTTTTCACTGCTTTTGTTATGGCTGTTGAAATGCCAGTAGGTCGAGGGGGCTGCCTTCTTGAGTGCCCAGGCCTTACCCCTGTTGCCACAGTTTTCGACCAAGCGCATCAGAAGCCACTGTTGTTCAGAAAGTTTCTTTCTGTTTCGTTTCCGTCAAAAGCATCGGCTCTGCTGGGTTGGGTTATGTTTTGTTTCTGTGCCCAACCACCAGAGGGACAGAGAGTAGTTGAGCATTGGTACATGCTCCCAGGGAAGAGCCCACAGAGCCAACTTTCCGGAATGCAAGAGCTGTTTGGAAACACTTCCAGGCATATGGTGTGATTCTTGTGTCCTGCACAGGGCCAGGAATTGGACTTGGGGAGTCCTTGTGTATCCCTTCCAACTCAGGATATTCCATGGTTCTTGAAGTTAGTAAAGGAGCACTTAATTTAAATAAGTGCAGTTGTACAGTACAGGCAGCCTTCACACTTAAAATGTATAATTTTTCATACACATCTATCAGTCACCAAATCTCTGTACTTAGCCCCAGCCCGATCTTGATTGAAGCCAAGGAAATAGGAAGTAATGAAATAGAAAATAAAGGAAATAAATGCAGTCTAAGGCAGTAGATATTTAAAGTTTTGCTTAATTAAATAGCTATTTTTATATTCTCATGTAAGCACTCAAGATGCAGTGCTGTGCATCATGAACGCCTGTTCTCCCTTGCTTATTATAGCAGCAGCATGTGTTTGGAGTTACTTCCAGCTTGTGTGATCTGTCTTTTCAAAAAAGGGTTTCTCTTGGGTCTGCTTCAAGGGTGTGAAAGTAGAAGCGTGGCAGTTAAATAGAATGTCATGGTTGTGATCTGCAGCATCATAATTTTATGTACTGCAAGGTCTAGCTAATTCCAACCTCTGTCAAAGAAGAGGTGTCATTTTAAGTGATCATAGAAGGAAAAAGTTGTTTTTTCATACAACTGATACTTAATAATCCTTTGACATGTCGAGCCCCTGGGGATTTGTCAATAGATGGTGCATACCTATGAAAATGTACAGTGTGAGAGAGCATTTTCCAAGTGCTGCCTTCTCCTGGCAGTATCACATTAAAAGAGCTACTGAAAGTTAGTGCCACTTGCCAGAATGTATTTAGCTCTGTCATTATCACTATAATTGTCCTCCCAATTGTCTGCCCAGCTCTACTCAGCACTCACAGAAAGGAAGTCAGAGTTCTGTGAAGGGGTTTTCTGCAGTTATTCTGTGACTGTTGTCTGTGGGAACAGATTGCATTCTTGACATGAAACTGCTTCAGTTTTGCAACCAATAAGACTGACCAGGCCACAAATAAGCTTTTCCATGAAACATTGAACATCATGGTTCTGTTTGATACTGGACTTTCAGGATAGTTTTTTTACTTGGCTGTGTGGTCAATAATTACTGTTTTACCCATTTTTCTTCTGTGTGCAGATATAAATGACTCTTCTTTAAGCTGAACCATGAGTCTTGCATTACATGATCTGCTGGTTTGCTGTCGTCGCCTTGAAAATGAGAAAGCTGTGGAGCGAAGGGTAACAAGTTTTCTTTTGGGCAGTGTACCTCAAATAACAATGAAGGGAATCATAAACAATTATTCTTTTTGTAATACATTTTCAGAAGGAAATTGAAAATTTCAAGCGACTTCTCCGTGATCCTGAAACAATTCTCCAGCTGGACCGGAATTCTGATTCCAAACAAGCAAAGCAACTCAACTGGGATGCTGTATTTAGGTAGTTCCTTGGTTTTGTTTGTGAATGGTCACAATTTTCTTGAACGGGACATCATTCTATTGTTTGTTAGGCCTATTTTAGTGCTTATCTTTTTGTATATTGATTTCGACTTCTTGTCAGCTTATAAATAAGTAATAACTTACCTTAGTCTCCAAGGGAAGTAAATTTAAAATGGCCAAAAGTGCCACACTTATCCCTTACAGAAAACTGCTAGGAAACTCATTAATTGGGTAGATTCTTTTACTTGCAAAAATAATAGTTGCTTTGTTCTATGGAAAATTATTCTTCACTTCTGATTTTCAGTCTATAAGGTGGATTACAGGTAGCTTTGTTAAAGTTTCTTGTGTTGCTGAATTCCTCAAGATACGGTAGAAGGACTGTGGCATGTTTATAGGGGCTGATCTTTGGTACAATCTGCTCCAGGTGTACTTTAAGATTGGACTAAGCATGAGTGTCATAAGTTCTTACAGCAGCTTCAGCCAGTGTTAAATTTCATGGTAGAAGTTCATGTGAATTATTGCTTTTCATTGAATAGGTTCCTGCTTTCCATTATGTTTTTTCTAATTTGACAGCATTGGAATAGTTTTTGTTTTACAGGTATACCAAAAATTTCATAAAAAGTGCTTGATAAATTTTATACATTGCTTTAGAGACAGTAGTATATTAGGAATATACAGGAGGAATACAAAAATAGAGCCTCTAAACTGAATTCAAATAGAAGGCCAGAAAATCTATAGCAATTACAGTGACAAATACAGTGAAAAGTTTAATTTATTCATAGATCTAAAATATAATCCATATATTAACTTCAAATTATATGGAAACAGGAATTGAAGGCTTTCCCAATAAAAGCAATGATAAGTACTTCTTATTATTTTGTTTTATAATGTTGCAGCATAAATAAAAATACTTAGCAAGGCTTTTTTTCCTAATTTTAAGTTGCATGTTTAGCACTGTGCAAAGTTTAAAGGAAAGTTTGGTTCCTACTCCAAGTTGCTTTTGGGTTATCTTTGAAACTTGCATCTCCTTTTATAGACTGTTTTCCAGTCATGCTTGGACTGTAGCGTATTTCAATTGGGTTTAGTCCTTGATAATTAATTAGAATTGTGAGAAGAACAGGAACTGGCATTTCAGCCTAAACCAACATTTTTTTATTTTGCTTCAGTCATAAATGAGCAGGTCCTTGGTTTAATCTCTCTTTTATTTTTGAAGCGTCTTGCAGAAATATTTCCACAAAGAACTTAAAAACCTGCAGCTGACAAAACCAAATGCATCTGCTTCAACTCAAACTACACGACAGAAAAAAATACAAGAAGTTGGAAGCTTGGTCAAATACTTCATCAGATGTGCTAATAAACGTCAGTAATATGCATTATCATATAGAGCTACTGGTTTGGTTTGGTACTTTGCTTTCAACTTTGAATTTTAACTTTGAAGTTACCAATATAGGGTTCATCATATTTGCTTCCAGATGTTTGCTATTTAAATATCTTAATGTGAACCTGTCACTTGTACTCCTTATCTGTCCTTTTTGATGTTCACAGTGCCTTTTTCTAATTATTCAATGTGTCTGTGACTGATATATCCTCCCACTGGTAATTTATATTTTAGAAACAGTTTAAGAAAATATTTCCTCATAGAACTAGGAGGAAGTTTGGGGGTTTTGTTTTTTTAATTAGGTAATATTTACAAACAATTAATTACAGATTTATTTGGTGGAATTTGAGTTAATTAAATAATCTGATGTTGTTTCTTCATATAGGAGGACCCAGACTGAAATGTCAGGAACTTCTGATTTATGTTGTGGAAATTATAAGAGATCCAATAAGTTGTGCTGCTTATGGTTCTGACTGTAGTAGTATACTCCTGAAGGATATCCTATCAGTAAGAAAATACTGGTGTGAGATATCCCAGCAGCAATGGTCAGGTAACAGTTTTGAACTTACTTAGAAATGTGTTTCCTTTTGTAGAAGCATGTTTTAGATGCATTTTAATTTGTTTGATGCCCTGTTGTGTGAGGTAGTGCACAAAATATGGAGTAAAGCAGTGTCAGCCTTTAAGGGCTTACACTTAAAGTAAACAAAGCAGTAAAGTTTAGGAATTAATTTTTTTTTTTTCTGTGTACTGTTTGTCTTTTCTTGCTGAAACATGAGCACTTCTGTACAGTCAGCTCATGTATGCATGGTCTGCACAGGTCACTGGGAGAGAGCACAGGCGTGGAGAGCCAGTGGGTTGCTGTGTGGTGGTTTCTTTAGGAACATGGAAGTTAGCTGAGTCTGTGGATGGGCAAAACTGGGAAGTGTGGCCGAAGTGTGGACATTAGATTGTAAGGAGCACAGTGGAATTTAGTTACTGAGGTGAGGCAGGGCTGAAGGCCGTAAATCTAGAGCAAGTCAAACTTTAATCCAGTAAGTGGAACAAGTTGTTTTTATTAAAGGAGGGGTATATAATCTTTGTAAAGGTTACTATAACCTTTTCTAGTGATTCCACCTTAATGCTTGCTTATAACTCTTGGGGTACATCAGAGAAGTCAGCTTTTTTATTTATAAAATCAGGGATCTGTTGCCATTGAAAGTAAGAACATGGATTCCAGCTGTTGACCTCAGAGTGGTGGTCTCTGTATCTTTAATGCAATATTTTGTGTCAATATTTTTTAATGTAATTTTCTGTAATATGTATGTTTATACTTATCTGCATTCTTTTTTAATACATTTGCAGAGTTGCTGACCCGGTATGGCCATTTATACCTCAAACCTTCTGGAAGCATTA